GCTGATTGATGCGGCCGGGTGTGGCTGGGTCCACCGCCGCCGTCTCTATTGGCTGGCCTCTCGAACCGGGGGGCTGTCACCTACCTGTGTGCCACCGTCAGACTGGGTTTGGCGTGAAGGCCCCGGGGAACACCATCCGGTGTTGCAGTACACGGGCAAGAAACCCATCCCAGCCCAAGTCTGGTGGGATGATCAGTTCCGCCCCCTCGTGGATCCCAAGAAGGTGGTGAAGGAGCAAGGGTCGGGAGCTATGCATCCATTCACACGGGAGTTCTTCCACCCTGCTGACCGGGTTGCCCAGGCAACACCTGCAGCTGCGGCGCGCTTTCATCAGGACTACCGTCGTTTCCCCCCGGCAGCCTATGAAGAGAATTCTCTGTTGTGGTCTGGCGACCACTGGAGGCAGCCCTCACCAGATGAGAGATCCCAACTGCTGGGTGTGCCTGTGGCTGCCACCCAGGCCGTGAAAGGCTCCCAAGATCAGCGCACTAAGATCCGCAACTCCTTACTGGGCAATGGTTTCCACCTCCCGAGTGTCATGGCGCTGTTGTGTTGCTTGCCATCCATCATGGGGTCCAAGCTGACCAGACAGCCACTTGACCTGGACGAACTCGCCCTGGGGGCGCGGTTGCACAATACAATCTGGATGCCAGGACGGTTGGCCGCTATGCCGGGATTGCTGACCTCTCGCACAATCTGTGAAGAACTGCAGGCTGCGTTCCCTTTTGTGCAAGCGTCAAACACCGTTTGGGCCGAGGTCTCTCAGAGGCTGGCAGCCTGTGAGCTGTCCGCGCTGCAGGCCTACCCAATGTGGCGCCGCTTGCGACAGGAACCTTGGTCTTTGCTCGGACCTACGCCAGTGTGGGGCCGGGAACGGACAGCTATTTATGCTGGTCTCACCGGCCAACGGTATGCTAGCAACTCGGCAAAAGGCTTGGACCACCTCCTTCAGCCAGGACTGGGCAAAGAGGCACACATTGCAGCTGCATTGAAGCTACCATCACCCTTTGACCCCCGCCCATGGCCTGAACCAGATGTTGAATTTGTTGTCCAGGCTGTGGCTACCTGGCAACAGGTTCTCCCGCGGTGGGCCGAGAAGCTACGCCACGTCCTCCTGACAGTGGCGCGCGCGGTGCAACCCTTGGAGGACACGCTGAAGCCTTTTCGATGCCAGAGCGCTCGAAAGGTGGCGGCGGGCAAGAAACCAGCCTTTCTGGCCACGAGGGTTGCGCTGTTACGATGGCCAGACAAGATGTTAGCCAGAGCTTGGGTTTTGGGTTTCGAGATTGTGGGTGACTTGGCGCATTCCGGGGTTTTCCGCCCTATCATCCAAGAAGGGAAGTTGGCTTTGGACCAATGGCTTGGACCAGCGGCCGAGGCTGACCTTGCTCGCCTCTTGAGCTCACGCCCTCCACAGCATGTCCAAGACATCCTGGAGTTGACACAGGACGAGATAGAAAAAGAATTTTGCTCGCCTTTGCGCACAGCACTTGAAATGGATGATTTGTTTGGGGTTGGGGGGTGGCGTTTCGTGGAACGTTTCCTTATCATTCAACCCGATGGGAAGAAACGGGCCATTGATAACGCCAGGAAAAGTGGTCATAATGCCCATACTACGATGCACGAAACAATATCAACTGTCAATGTTGATTTCTGTGCGTCCGTAGCACGTATGTTGCATACAGAGATGCCCTTTTCTCTTGGGGAACCCCCAGAATGGCTGGACCTCCGTCTGGGTACGGATGACCTACCGGATGCCTATCGGGGTTTGCCTGTCGCCGATTCCCACCTACCTTTTTCAAATGTGGCTATTTTCGTGCCGGGGGTGGGCTGGAGATTCACATGTATGTGGGGTCTGGCGTATGGCTTGGAAAGTGCTGTGGTGAACTTCAACCGTTTCCCACAACTTGGTATCGCCATCACTAGGCGCTGCCTATTAGGGTGTGCAGCTGCGTACTTTGATGACGAACTGGCAGTGGAGTGCATTCGTGATTGCGATGTCTCCCAAAGAAACCTACAACTTGTGTTCAAGTTGTTAGGTGCCCCACCGCAGAGTTCCAAGAGCTTCGCACCTGCACCCAATAGGCACTACCTGGGCACATCTGTCCATGTAGGAGACTTTGGCTGGTTGGGGGTCATCCGTTTCCAACCAAAGACTTCCACAACCATGAAAGTCCAAGCCAAGCTCCACGAGGCGATTGTGACCAAGCAACTCCGCCCAGATGATGCGGGGAAACTTCGTGGTGACCTCAACTGGCTTTTCAGCATGTGCGCAGGACATGCAGGCCGCTTTGCTGGCCCTGTGCTGGCGGCAAAGCAACATGCCTCATCCCCTGTCCTACTGGAATCTGAGGCCACCACCCTCCAACTTCTCAGCATCATGCTTCGCACAGCCAGGCCCCGGGATGTTGAGGTGTGCTCCGCTACCAAATCCCCCCTGGTGATTTACTCGGATGCATCCTTCGAAAACGGTGCATTACGAGTGGGATGGGTACTTATGACCTCACCTCCATTAGGAGTGTCGTGTCTCGTCCCATCGGAAGTGACAGATACCTGGATAACACGTCATCAGCAGATCTACCCTGGAGAGACGCTTTGTGGACTCCTCGTGCCGTGGGTCCATGGTGATCTCCTGGAGGGTCGAGATCTCCTCTGGTTCGTTGATAATGAGGCTGCTGTTTCCTCATTAATTAAAGGTTCCAGCGGACAAGAAGACGTTCACACCATTGTCCAGCTGTCACATCTGATTTTCCAGAAACGCCAGATTCGACCGTGGTTTGAATGGATCGACTCTGCCAGTAACCCGTCAGACGGGTTGTCCAGGTTGGGTATTGAGGATTCCTGGACCCAAACCCAACCCTGGCATTTGCGCGAGTTGTCCTTCCCAGTCGAACTCCTTTTTGTGGCTAAGCCTACGGACCTACAACCTTTCCTCTCCTTAGTGAACAGTGGGTGATTGTTATTTAACAGTGGGTGATCAGGTATGTTCATCAAAGATGACATAAAAAGCTAGTCTGT